ACATAGGAATTTAGGGGATAAGGACAGGAACTGTTGCCTGTTACTTTAGCACACAGATTAAATTTGGGGCACCCCAGCTACGTTAATTTGATTTTCCAAAACTAGATAAGAAATGAAAGGGATGCTCCCAAGAGAAACATCTTACCTAGAATAAACTGAGAGACGAATTACAGTATCTTCCAAGAATTACAAAGTCTGCTAAAAGAAGGGGATAAAAAATGCCTGTCCTTTTAGACAACGCTGTAATCTGATGATAAAGATCCTTTGAAAAACTATCTGAGCTATATTAACGGAACTTGGGTGCTCACCAAACCAAATTAGGTCCCCCCACTCTGTACTTACCTGTTGTGGGAAAACTCAAGCCCTCAAATTACTTAAGGGCTTAAAATAGTTAAGGGAGGTTTATAAAACACATGCTTTTATAATAAAAGTTAATTCAAGATTAAATTTATTTATTTATTAAAATACATAAAAAGTTAAAGTCATCCCATAAAAGGACTTACAGTGCATGTCACGTTCATGTTCGTATTCAATGAAGGCGTAGCCACGTGGCTTGCTGGAGTGCTTATTGTACACCATGTAGATCTAAAAAGGAATAATTAAACAGGCATACAGCCTCAGGGAAGCCCATACAACAGCAGTCTTCCTTCCTCCAACTTGAGGGTCATATTGGGCTTCACACAGCTCACTCAAAATTATACTGCAATGTAAGGGCTATGTTTCATTTGTTTATACATTTACATTTTGATAATTTTGCAGGGTTTTGTAATAACAAAGTGCTACAAAATGTTTTGTTTTTAAGGGACTAAAGATGGCATTAAGGAGGAAAATTGAGTACTTTAAATATCTTTTTAGAAAGTTGTATTTGTTAGATTTTAAAGAATGTTTAATATACGCCTTACACTCATTTTGCCTTTCAGCCATGCAAACATTAAAAACCCCACCCACCCAACCTGCAGTTTTACATCCCTGTCTGACAATCTCCATTTGAGTTCTAAAAAATATCACTTTGAAGAACCTCATCACTTAAGAGATTACCCATCAAATGGACAAAAGATCAGCATCCTCTTTTTACGCCATTCTTGTTTACTATTATTATTAAGTCTGGGTAAGCATTTCCATGGGAAGATTCCTTATGATTGTCTCCCTTCCCTGAATTTTATTTATATTGTTTAATCAGTCACTATGATTGCAACTATAAAACTTCAGCTGGTATTGCCTTTATAAATTTTAGATTTTTGAGATAAGGATCCCAAAACTACACTGCATCATCTTATTTTACATCTCTTCTGAAATTTCTTAAATATATTTTTACATGAAAAGAAAACTACCATGGGAAAACACAAATCCCTTCCCTTAAGAGAGCAAAAGCAGGAACGTTAAATAGTAAACAGGAATATGATCTCAACCTAGACTATGAAGCATACAAAAAGGTGCTCAGAAAATCGGGCACCTCCCCTTCCATTGCGAAAATATGTGTTTTCTGGAGAAATGATCTAAAGCAGTGGTTCTCAACATTTTCTTCACCAACGGACCCCTTTTAAATACCTTTTGTGGCTACGGACCATGGCTATGGACCGCCAATATTTAACTTAAGATTTAAATCATAACATTTCTTCAAGCCTTTGCAGACCCCTATGACATCGCAGCCCTCCAGGGGTCCACGGACCACAGGTTGAGAACCACTGATCTAAACTAATCACTCACTCTTTTGATGGGTCCATAGACTTCAAACTCCCTCCTCAGCTTGGACTCTGTTGTATCATAGTTCTGGAAAGTAAGTAGGAAAAACAGAGATAGAACTAATGGAAAACCAAAGACATCTCTCTCTATGATTATTAAAGAAGCTAGCTAATTCAACTGGCACCTCAAAAGCTCTTGTAAACAATAAACTGGATGCAGGGCAAACCTCAGCATGTACATTCTCTACCAAGTAGAATCAAGAAACTCCTCTTCTCAGAAATTATGCTTCCCCAATCACTGCCACCAAATTCTTTCTTGGAAAATTGACAAATCTGGGGATGGAATTGGGGAAGTATGACGATGAAAACTCTCAGACATCTAGGTAGAGTTGTCTAGAAGTTGAGTGATGGCAACTGGACTTTTCTTTAGTAAGATTATGCCTATCCTGTCCTTGAGCAATCTCAGCTGCACTCGTTTCCATATACCGTGTTTCCCCCAAAATACGACCTGTCCTGAAACTAACGCCTTGCCACATTTTTCGTGTGGGCAAAAATGTAAGCCCACCCTCGAAAATAAGCCCCCTGGACAACCCCCCCCCCCTCCGGGCAAGCAGAGCACCGCTCACCAACCTAGCGGTATCCCGAAGGCACGAAGCCGCGGGAGCCGGGGGGAGGGAAAGGCGCTCACATTGCTAGGCGCCTTCAGGATACTGCTAGGTTGGGGAGTGGCGTTCTGCCTGGCCAGAGGGGGGAGTTGCCGGGGAGCTGCTCCCTTGCGAGCGGGCTCCCGAAGAGCCGGGCACAGCCTCAGGGGCGAAGCAGCCATGAGGTGACCACGCTCACGAGCAGCCGCCCAGCAAACCCCCTCTCCAGCTGGGCAGAGCTCCATGCACTGACCTAGGGGGTATCCCTAATATGCCAAGCCACGGGAGCTGGGGAGCGGGCAGAGCGCCACGGCTGGAGAGGGGGTTTGCCGGGCGGTTGCTCGTGGGCGTGGTCACCTCATGGCTGCTTCGCCCCTGAGGCTGTGCCTGGCTCTTCGGGAGCCAGTTCGCAAGGGAGCAGTTGCCCGGCAACCCCAAAACAATAAGCCCTCCCCCTATAATAAGCCCAAGGCCATATTTCGTGGGGCAAAAGAAAATAAGACCCTGTCTTATTTTGGAGGAAACACGGTAGTAAAAAAACAACCATCCTTTCCCCATTTCCCAGCAGATGATCAACAAGACTGCAAGGTACTGGGAGTAGTGGTGTCTGGAGCACAACATGTCACCAAGAACACAATCAAGGGCTGCATGGGGTCAGCAAATTGTTTACATGCATTTTACTCTAACCACTGATAGAAGGGAAAGGAAATAACTTACAACTCTAGCCACAAAAAGTGTCTTGAAGGCATCTCCTTGAGCATTGGGGTCATTATGTGGATCCCCTAAATGAAAAAATAATAAATCAGATTAGAGGAGAAATGAGAAAAAATATACTTCCACTTCCCTATTTTTTTTACAAGTGCCAGGCCTCATCTTTAATTAATGGGCCTTCTGTTAATTTGAATTTAATGATAAAAAGTATACATTCCTTTAGACAGCTTTCTACTGTGTCTGACTTACACATCTTCAATTCACTTTCAACCTCTTGCTGTCGGCGTTCAATCTTCTCTCGCCTCTGCAATGAAAGGGACCAAGAAAATATAAGGAATGCTTATTTTGTTTTTCAGTATATCCCACGAAGAATAACTGTTTGAATATTACAAGGGCCACCTCTTCAACATCCTTCTACTTAATTCTTTCTATTTTAGGACCTTGGAAGAGAGCAAATGCTGATATACTTCACATATAACTTTGTGCTATACATACCTTCCGTTCCATCCGTTCCTCCCGTGTCTCTGCACGAGTCGGTGGGGGAGCATCACGTGGGTCCTGAAAGAGAAACTGTTTTGTAATAGCTCTGAATATTAAATTAAGACAAAAATGTTGAGAAAGTAATTGCTACAACACCCATTCTGATTCTACAGGCATTAGCGAATATCCCAGTAACAAGTGAAAGACAGTTAAGACCAATACTACTAGACCTACCTCAAACTCACGGATGTAGGGAGCAATACCACTGTATGGCTGATTATGATGTTTCTCATGGGGCAATTTTTCCAAAGGAGGCAGATAGGGTATAGGATCACGGGGTGCAAATAGTGCCAACAAATTTGGGGGCAGGAACTGTGTCATCTTGAAACACCTGTCATGTAAGGGGGGGGGGGGAATTCAGTAAGTTTGAAAAAAGAACAATAGTGGCTAGTCCATGTGATTAGCATGGAAATGAAAAGAAAAAAAAAAGATTTTTAAGCCAAACATATGAACACATAACATCTCTCTGCAACGGTAAAAACAGTAGACTAGGTTGACAGATTTTGTGGGATATCTCCAGTTTGAACCTTGTTGCTACTCACACAGAAGACAGTAATCTGAAACTTCTATTTTTCCGAACGGCAAGTGGAAAATTGTTTTTCTTAAGTGCTTTATCATATATAAACTATTCGAGATGAAAGAGGCCCCAGCAAATCAGACTGCTCTCTATAGTGCTATTTGGACAGCTTTAAAAAAGTGGCATTCCCTGCTACAATCTGAATTTGTAGAAGCCACTGTACCGCCTCAGCATTCAAGCCCTGGTTTCACATGGGCTAACTCCTCTTCACTAAACACTTTCTCGCATGCGACCTGGAGGTCCATGACATCTGTTTCAAAAAGTTAACGCGCACGAATAGTTGGCTTTCGATTGTTGTGCCCGTTGCAGCTCTTATCCCAGCAGCCCCTTGGACCTCACTTGCTCTAGCTTGCGCGCGCAGAGACCTCTTCCCCCTCTCTCAAGCTCGCCTCACGCTCTCTTCTGTAGCAGGCCTTCCTCCTCTTCCCATGAGATCTTGCGCAAAATCACTGCCCTCGGATCACTCGCTACCGGCAACAACCCACCCCCGGCCTTTTTATTCCCAAGTAGCGCCTCTTCTCTATTCCGCAGGAATGACCCAGAAAACGGCCTTCTCCCGCTTCTCACGAAACAACGCCCCTCACGGACGCAATTCGAGTCTCACTAGCCGTCGTGACCGTCCGTTCAGCGATTCCCGCCGCCTCAGACTGGGCCTATTCGGCGCGCACTCTGCGCATGCTTGGATAGATGCCCCATCACTACGCTTGAAACCTTACGCGTCGATTTTTGATTCGTTGTCGTCTGCTGATCAATCCGCGCAACGTTGGTTTTTTTTTTTTAGTTGGAAGGGCGTCTGAAAAGAAAATAGTCTGTCTCAATACACTATCTTCGTCTATAGATGTAAGTTTGTATGCTAGTCAGTGGTGATAAAGCATTGATCCGAGCATTGAACACAGATTCAGTGCGGGCAACGGGAAACCCTGTGCAACTTTCCAGGGGTTTCAAAGTCTGTAGAGATTCTCAGTCATCCAGGCCATGGTTGTCCCAAAGGTGCTTTTTTCAGGAGGCAACTGGACTTTGATTTTTTCTTTTTCTTTCTTTCTTAGAAAAATGAAAAAACAAACAAAAAAGTCCAGTTGCCTACTGAAAAAGCACCTTTGGGACAACCATGGCCTGGATGACTGAGAATCTCTACAGACTTTCAGCTATACAATTTGGGATGAACACCCTGTGAATGGTGTGGGAGTAGAAATGGATTTCCAGAGGAAAAAAAGGCAGACTACAGGAACCAAGATCACTACTCAGGTAACCCTGAGGACACAGATAAACCTGCAAGTGCTTCAATGACCATCTAAAATGGGTGTCAAACTCCCAGCCCATGGGCTGGATGTGTCACATGCTGGCCATACCCATGCCCGGTTTAGCAAAGGGGGGGCGGGAGTCGCAATATGTCACATGACAATGCCATGACAACACGAGTTTGACACCCCTGCTCTAGAAGGATGCGAATGACCAGCTGTCTGCAAGGAATATAAATCCTACTATTCCCCACTATCCTGTCAGAACTAAAGAAGCTACTTGGATGAGAAGTGAAACGTCTTTGAAGACAAAAACAAGAAAGTCCAGTTGCCTCCTGAAAAAGCACCTTTGAGACTTGATGTTTATAACAAAAAAAATATACTGGTCCAAGAGGAAAGCTAAAATGCAGGCAATACCTTTTTTTAACTGCTAGCCAAAATGCTACAAAAATATGAGTTTGTGTTGGTATTTCTGTAATAAATATTAAACAAGGGATGGAAAGCCTGCCCTAATCTAATGCTCTCCCATTGTTTTGGATTCCAAATTCCCAGCCAGCCACAGAAGGTTGTGTTGGATTGTTCCACCTCAGGGTTCATGTTTAAAGGCTTGCCAGTTTGTTGGAGGGTTGGTGGTGTTTTGTTTTTTTTTTTGCAATGGTGTATTTACAGACATGCAGATCTAACAGGCTTATTCTTTGTCCCCTTGTAGCAGAGTCTGGAAGAGCATTATACTTGACTTCTGCAGTTTTGTGTGAATTAACTGTATGACATATACTGATAGATCTTGCTTATGGTGCTGGTTAGTGGCAGCATTGGTTGCCTTTGTTGAAGGAAGAAGCCAAACCAGTTTGCCTTGAATAACAAAATTTGAGTGAACACTGAATCCTGAGAGAGATGCATATCTGTCATTTTCCCATCAGATTTACTGTAGTAGAAGAAAGTAAGAGCTAATAGTTTCAGAGCTAACAGCACTGAAAAAAGTGAGTTGTGACCATTTTTCACACAACGGTTGCAGCATCCCCATGGTCACATGATCAAAATTCGGACACTTGCCAACTGGCTCATATTTATGACAGGTGTAATATCCCAGGGTCATGTGACCACTTTTTGCAACCTCCTGACAAAGTCAATGGAGAAGCCAGATGAGAGGTGGGTTGCTGCCAGTTCGGCCGAAACGGTAGTGTTGCAGAAAATGAGACAAGACCAGCTCTTTGTCAAAGGGAAAGGTTTATTTGCGCAAAGGTTCAGGAGCAAAACCTGAACCCC